GGTATAACCATGTTAAACTCTGCAGGAGGTAAATTACTCTCAGGCCCAGTATCAAGCCTGAGGAGACCTATGCCTGCAGATAAACAATACCAGTAGAAATCTAAATTTGTCAGCTGATTATATTTCTCCAGTAGCATTATACTAAGGAGATTACAGCTGACTATACCAACAGAGGTTGATGTTAGTATCATCATTTAAAGCTGGAGATGAGTTCATGAGGCCTCAGTGGCAAATCAGTGAACAGTAGCCTAAAACAGCTACAAGTCACTGCGACCAATGTCACTGAACCCACTACAGTCTCAGAACCATACTTTACTTTAATGATGAGCTATTCAATCCTCTGAATCAATTAACTAAATTAAACCCCAATAAATTTGATGACTGATTTGATACATTTATTATTTAATCAAGATGTATTCCATGGGCCTCAGTGTTTACATATCAGTGACCAGTTACCTGAAGAAACTTCAAGTTATATCTAATGTCACTGATCTCACTGCAGTCCCTGAATCATACTTGACTGTAGTACTTGATCACATCCAGTCTTCTGGGTTAAATAATATGTATAAGGCTTGAATATTAGCCTTTCAAGAGTTGACAGGGAAATGAAATTGCATTAGACTTCTAACCCCTGCAACTCTAGTACGGGACATCCGTCCTGTACGAACAGACACACAAATGTGTGATTACTAACTACTAACATCAAATTAATCTAATAATTCGAAGGAGGAGTATCGGTGTTCGTCTGTTCTAAATAGGACTTCGACCCGTGAGCAGCCCCCTGGGGAATTATGTCGGAAAATCCGACACCATTTAACAATAATATCATCATACAGATAATAACTGTATTACCAACAAGTTACCCATAGAAAACGTAACTTGTAGTGGAATTACCATCTAAAGAAAACGGGATATCATCACCACATACTATTATAATTCACCACCTATTATGGTGGGAATTATTCTTAAATACATTAGTCTTTGGACTTTACCATTATAAAAACATCTTATATAAATTAACTTAATTATCAATATTAAAGTAGAGTAAATGTGACCCTTCTATCACTTTCTGAAATCTGGACAAAGTAGGCCAGGCGTCAGGGAGGAAGGAGGGAGCTATTGTTGTTATTGAGACCGGAGGCTCACACGGGAGCAAATTCGGCTCCTGTTAAATTTACTTGGACGTAGTGTTATGGAACCCAAAGGTGTACCATTGTCAACACGCTGTCTACAAATACAAGTTAAGTGTCTATCCGAAACCCGTTTATCATTCATTTATGGCCATTAATGTCAGGATATAGGGTTAGCCGGTTAGAACGCGAAATCGCCTCATACTAAAGGTAATTAAGCCAGGTCTTTAATGTTCCATGTACTGTATAGTGTTTTCTCTGATATAGCTTGTCATATATAGGATTCTGGCTTCACAGCTAGCGCACTTTTGACAGGTCAAGACGAGGATGCAAGATTATGTGCACCAGTTACTGGGTGATAGAAGCTACCTCAAAGAGGATAATTTGGTGTCTACACTCTAGTTATACCTGGTGGACTAACCTGCTGTACTATAAGAGAAGGAACCTCATCAATGTATGTAGCTATTACTGTAGTTTGATTGGCTGCATATATATTAATTTAATAAACCCTCCCTAATGTGTAGAGGATCGATTTGTGAGATTATGAGATTATTGCAGAAATACAGTCCACTTATCATTATACAAATTGCTATCGAAGTAAATATAAATTCAATATAAATTCATATAAATTAAATAAATATAAATCTCACAGGTCGGTTCCCACATTGTTGGTCTGCCCAGGTTGTTGGTCTGCCCAGGTTGTTGGTCTGCCCAGGTTGTTGGTCTGCCCAGGTTGTTGGTCTGCCCAGGTTGTTGGTCTGCCCAGGTTGTTGGTCTGCCCAGGTTGTTGGTCTACCCAGGTTGTTGGTCTGCCCAGGTTGTTGGTCTGTCCAGGTTGTTGGTCTACCCAGGTTGTTGGTCTGCCCAGGTTGTTGGTCTGCCCAGGTTGTTGGTCTACCCAGGTTGTTGGTCTGCCCAGGTTGTTGGTCTACCCAGGTTGTTGGTCTGCCCAGGTTGTTGGTCTACCCAGGTTGTTGGTCTGTCCAGGTTGTTGGTCTGCCCAGGTTGTTGGTCTACCCAGGTTGTTGGTCTGCCCAGGTTGTTGGTCTGTCCAGGTTGTTGGTCTGTCCAGGTTGTTGGTCTGCCCAGGTTGTTGGTCTGTCCAGGTTGTTGGTCTGTCCAGGTTGTTGGTCTGCCCAGGTTGTTGGTCTACCCAGGGTGTTGGTCTGCCCAGGTTGTTGGTCTACCCAGGTTGTTGGTCTACCCAGGTTGTTGGTCTACCCAGGTTGTTGGTCTACCCAGGTTGTTGGTCTGCCCAGGTTGTTGGTCTACCCAGGTTGTTGGTCTGCCCAGGTTGTTGGTCTGTCCAGGTTGTTGGTCTGTCCAGGTTGTTGGTCTGCCCAGGTTGTTGGTCTGCCCAGGTTGTTGGTCTGCCCAGGTTGTTGGTCTGCCCAGATTGTTGGTCTGACCAGGTTGTTGGTCTGCCCAGGGTGTTGGTCTGCCCAGGTTGTTGGTCTGTCCAGGTTGTTGGTCTGCCCAGGTTGTTGGTCTGCCCAGGTTGTTGGTCTGTCCAGGTTGTTGGTCTGTCCAGGTTGTTGGTCTGTCCAGGTTGTTGGTCTGTCCAGGTTGTTGGTCTGTCCAGGTTGTTGGTCTGCCCAGGTTGTTGGTCTGCCCAGGTTGTTGGTCTGCCCAGGTTGTTGGTCTGCCCAGGTTGTTGGTCTGCCCAGGGTGTTGGTCTACCCAGGGTGTTGGTCTGCCCAGGTTGTTGGTCTACCCAGGTTGTTGGTCTGCCCAGGGTGTTGGTCTGCCCAGGTTGTTGGTCTACCCAGGTTGTTGGTCTGCCCAGGTTGTTGGTCTGTCCAGGTTGTTGGTCTGTCCAGGTTGTTGGTCTACCCAGGTTGTTGGTCTGCCCAGGTTGTTGGTCTGCCCAGGTTGTTGGTCTGCCCAGGTTGTTGGTCTGCCCAGGGTGTTGGTCTGCCCAGGTTGTTGGTCTGCCCAGGGTGTTGGTCTGCCCAGGTTGTTGGTCTACCCAGGTTGTTGGTCTGCCCAGGTTGTTGGTCTGTCCAGGTTGTTGGTCTGTCCAGGTTGTTGGTCTACCCAGGTTGTTGGTCTGCCCAGGTTGTTGGTCTGCCCAGGGTGTTGGTCTGCCCAGGTTGTTGGTCTGCCCAGGTTGTTGGTCTGTCCAGGTTGTTGGTCTGTCCAGGTTGTTGGTCTGCCCAGGGTGTTGGTCTGCCCAGGGTGTTGGTCTGCCCAGGGTGTTGGTCTACCCAGGTTGTTGGTCTGCCCAGGGTGTTGGTCTGTCCAGGGTGTTGGTCTGCCCAGGGTGTTGGTCTACCCAGGTTGTTGGTCTACCCAGGTTGTTGGTCTGTCCAGGTTGTTGGTCTACCCAGGTTGTTGGTCTGCCCAGGTTGTTGGTCTGCCCAGGGTGTTGGTCTGCCCAGGTTGTTGGTCTGCCCAGGTTGTTGGTCTGTCCAGGTTGTTGGTCTGTCCAGGTCGTTGGTCTACCCAGGTTGTTGGTCTGCCCAGGTTGTTGGTCTGCCCAGGGTGTTGGTCTACCCAGGTTGTTGGTCTGCCCAGGTTGTTGGTCAGCCCAGGGTGTTGGTCTACCCAGGTTGTTGGTCTGCCCAGGGTGTTGGTCTGCCCAGGTTGTTGGTCTACCCAGGTTGTTGGTCTGTCCAGGTTGTTGGTCTACCCAGGTTGTTGGTCTACCCAGGTTGTTGCGATTCTGGTGAGGCAAAACTGCTGAGAAAGTTACGCTTGTCAGACCGTATGAACGGGGCGTTGTGTTTTATGTTGAGTGAATAGTGTTGAGTGTATTAATGTTGAGTGTATTAATGTTGAGTGTATTAGAATTACTGTATTAGTTTTGAGTGTATTAGAATTACTGTATTAGTTTTGAGTGTATTAGAATTACTGTATTAGTGTTGAGTGTATTAGAACTACTGTATTAGTGTTGAGTGTATTAGTGTTGAGTGTATTAGAATTACTGTATTAGTGTTGAGTGTATTAGAATTACTGTATTAGTGTTGAGTGTATTAGAACTACTGTATTAGTGTTGAGTGTATTAGAATTACTGTATTAGTGTTGAGTGTATTAGAACTACTGTATTAGTGTTGAGTGTATTAGTGTTGAGTGTATTAGAATTACTGTATTAGTGTTGAGTGTATTAGTGTTGAGTGTATTAGAATTACTGTATTAGTGTTGAGTGTATTAGAATTACTGTATTAGTGTTGAGTGTATTAGAATGAATATATTACTGTTGAGTGTATTAGAATTACTGTATTAGTGTTGAGTGTATTAGTGTTGAGTGTATTAGAATTACTGTATTAGTGTTGAGTGTATTAGAACTGAGTGTATTAGAAGTGAGAGTATTAAATGTTGAGTGTATCCATGTTGAGTGTATGCATGTTGAGTGTATGCATGTTGAGTGCATTGGTGTTAAGTGTTTGGATGATGAATATTTTTGTGTTGAGTGTATTGGGTACGGAGTGTTGATTCAATGTGCTTAATTGTGTTGTGTATTTTGTTGTGTTATATATGTATGCGAGAGATAGAGGGAGAGTTTTAACTCTCCCTCCAATGCAAAATGTTCATTATAAATTGTGCATAAAAATGAAAGACAAAGAATAAAGGAAACAGAGACACAGAGAGGCAGAGAGAGAGAGAGAGAGAGGCAGCGAGGCAGAGAGAGAGAGAGAGAGAGAGAGAGAGAGAGAGAGAGAGAGAGAGAGAGAGAGAGAGAGAGAGAGAGAGAGAGAGAGAGAGAGAGAGAGAGAGCGAGACAGTTCTTAACAGGAAAAGAGGTACCAAAATTCGTATATCTTGCCGCCTCGTCGTAGATTTTTTAATTTAAACGCTTCCGATAACTTCAATGCTATAAGACATGCAGAAGATTGCAATAATTCCTAAAACTGACTCAAGTATCGACAGGCAGTCGGCGACGCCACGAGAGGAAGAATGTAGTGAGGAAAGGCGGTCTCTGGGGTGTGTGTGTGGCAGGGCCCCAGGGAAGGATTGACGCCACGCATCAGGATAATATTGTGGAGGTGGTGACGGAGGCGGTCGGCGGGCGCCCGCTTCCTACAGTGTGGTGTTATCCTCCATCGTTGTCACCCCCTGCACCGTCACCAGGGTGTACTAGGCTAACTCACCGCGCCAGCCTCCCGCCAGGTAAGACGGTGAGGGAACATTTGTGCTCGATACAAGATTATTTTCTAAATTTCCAACAATAAGACGGAATCTGATAATTCTTAAAGACTTAGCAGTGTTTTCGAGGGGGGCGTGGGAGATGCAGTGTCCACAGGGGAAAAGGTGCTGGGAGTGATGTAATGCCAGAGGTTTGACATCTCTCCCAGCTGCTTTACATATTCTTAACATACATATTCGATGCTTATGTAGTACCAAGAACATTTGGACAACTTTCACGAACTGGATTAAGGCCCTTTCACTGGGCTGTTGAGTAGCTCGTGTCCCACTTGGGGCTGTTGAGTGCCCTTATTTCAGTATGGACCCTTGAAGTACTCCCTGCCCTTAGTGTCAAGAGGGAAGAGGCGTTTGGTGTGAACTATGGTGTCACGGTGATGTGGAGTGGTGTGGCGTGGTGTAGTGTGTGATGTGGAGTAGTGTGATATGATGATAGTGTTGTAATGTGATGTGATTAAGGAAGTGTAGTATGATGTGGAGTATTGTGGAGTGATGTAATGTGGAATAATGTGGAGTGGTGATGTGTAAAATGGAATAGAATGGAGTTGAGTGAAGCGTGTAAACACTTCCCAAGTCAATCATGGAGTGTTGTCACAACATGAGCCATTTGGTGCGATTGTTTGTGCTGATGAAAGCTATTCAATGATGCAGTTAATGGTCATGATAATTGTAATGTAGAAAATAAAGTCGAGCATGATAAGGGTGTGTGAGTGTTGAAGGGTTACGATTGTAATGATGGTGAAGACGATAAGTTGGGTTTATTAATAATGACTAAGGTGATGGTGATGCTCAAAATGATGGTGGTCAATAAAGCCGGAGAGTCAATAAAGTCAACTCTAACAGTAATAATGTTTAACAACAACATAATAATAATTTCCTCTTCCAGGATGACACTGCTAAGCTTCTTACGACGACGTGTGTTGGGTAAAGCCAGCTCCATTATTAAGGTAGGTTTCCTAGGCTCCATTATTAAGGTAGGTTTCCTAGGCTCCATTATTAAGGTAGGTTTCCTAGGCTCCATTATTAAGGTAGGTTTCCTAGGCTCCATTATTAAGGTAGGTTTCCTAGGCTCCATTATTAAGGTAGGTTTCCTAGGCTCCATTATTAAGGTAGGTTTCCTAGGCTCCATTATTAAGGTAGGTTTCCTAGGCTCCATTATTAAGGTAGGTTTCCTAGGCTCCATTATTAAGGTAGGTTTCCTAGGCTCCATTATTAAGGTAGGTTTCCTAGGCTCCATTATTAAGGTAGGTTTCCTAGGCTCCATTATTAAGGTAGGTTTCCTAGGCTCCATTATTAAGGTAGGTTTCCTAGGCTCCATTATTAAGGTAGGTTTCCTAGGCTCCATTATTAAGGTAGGTTTCCTAGGCTCCATTATTAAGGTAGGTTTCCTAGGCTCCATTATTAAGGTAGGTTTCCTAGGCTCCATTATTAAGGTAGGTTTCCTAGGCTCCATTATTAAGGTAGGTTTCCTAGGCTCCATTATTAAGGTAGGTTTCCTAGGCTCCATTATTAAGGTAGGTTTCCTAGGCTCCATTATTAAGGTAGGTTTCCTAGGCTCCATTATTAAGGTAGGTTTCCTAGGCTCCATTATTAAGGTAGGTTTCCTAGGCTCCATTATTAAGGTAGGTTTCCTAGGCTCCATTATTAAGGTAGGTTTCCTAGGCTCCATTATTAAGGTAGGTTTCCTAGGCTCCATTATTAAGGTAGGTTTCCTAGGCTCCATTATTAAGGTAGGTTTCCTAGGCTCCATTATTAAGGTAGGTTTCCTAGGCTCCATTATTAAGGTAGGTTTCCTAGGCTCCATTATTAAGGTAGGTTTCCTAGGCTCCATTATTAAGGTAGGTTTCCTAGGCTCCATTATTAAGGTAGGTTTCCTAGGCTCCATTATTAAGGTAGGTTTCCTAGGCTCCATTATTAAGGTAGGTTTCCTAGGCTCCATTATTAAGGTAGGTTTCCTAGGCTCCATTATTAAGGTAGGTTTCCTAGGCTCCATTATTAAGGTAGGTTTCCTAGGCTCCATTATTAAGGTAGGTTTCCTAGGCTCCATTATTAAGGTAGGTTTCCTAGGCTCCATTATTAAGGTAGGTTTCCTAGGCTCCATTATCAAGGTAGGTTTCCTAGGCTCCATTATCAAGGTAGGTTTCCTAGGCTCCATTATCAAGGTAGGTTTTCTAGGCTCCATTATCAAGGTAGGTTTTCTAGGCTCCATTATCAAGGTAGGTTTCCTAGGCTCCATTATCAAGGTAGGTTTTCTAGGCTCCATTATCAAGGTAGGTTTCCTAGGCTCCATTGTCATGGTAGGTTTCCTAGGGCTCCATTATTAAGGTAGGTTTCCTAGGGTTCCATTATCAAGGTAGGTTTCCTAGGGTTCCATTATCAAGGTAGGTTTCCTAGGCTCCATTATCAAAGTAGGTTTCCTAGGCTCCATTATTAAGGTAGGTTTCCTAGGCTCCATTATTAAGGTAGGTTTCCTAGGCTCCATTATTAAGGTAGGTTACCTAAGCACCACTAGGTTACCTTGCCACTCCCCTGAGCACACAGGCCCGCAGTTTAGAATGTGTTGATATACTTGTTCAAACATAGCCAGTGTAGCGCTAAGCCTTGCCAGCGCCCTCTACACCCACATCACCTCCGCCTTTCCATGTTCCAGCCCAGGTAATGGTAAGACTACCATAGGACTATCGTACTTGCACTTCAGCTGTAAGTACAAGACAAGTTGAGCGCCTTGCCACTTCGGATATGCAAGTCAGGAACAAGATTCATCAAGATTTACGAAACCTGTACATCCGTTTTCGATCATGACGGTTTAGTCTTTTTTCTAAGCAGTTTACGAGCTTGGAAACTTCACAACCCGAGGTTATTACTGTTATAGACAAGCTCGTAGTGCTTCGGAGCTCATAAATTGATTAATAAATGCATACTAACCCGCCATGATTGAAGAAAGATGTATAGCTTTCGCAAATGATCACTTAAGTGCGTGATGAATCCTAGCCAGAAATGTACGAACCCAAACAACCCATCTAACCTGTCGAGGCCAACCATGAAAAATATCAAAATTAAGGTGTTTTTATTTGTAGTAATACGTCGCATTTTTAACGAAGTAATTGATTCCGTTAACAATAGGAGGTGTCAGGCAAGAGGAAGGGTTGATCCACGTGACTGTGTGTGTACCCTGCCCTTTGTTTTTTTAATTGGGAGTAAAGAGGATGGAGAGGCACGGGTGAAGGAAAAGTTTAGAAAGGGGAAATACAGTGAGATTTATGGCAGAACATACATTGGCAGAGTATGTAAAATTGTCTTTGAAAATGTAAGAAGTGTCTTGCGAAACGCTTCTAGGCGTCAGACCATAAATCAAGTGTGAAAATGAACTTTGGAGAGTTAATTTTTTAACTACCCTCGACAGTGAAGAAAAATATAAGAAATATTGAGACGATTCGTGTTAGAATCATTAATCTTACAATTTCGGTCAAATTCAACAACATATTTATATATATACATACATATATATATATATATATATATATATATATATATATATATATATATATATATATATATATATATATATATATAATATATATATAAAGACCATTGAAGGCAACCAGAAAAAGAGATCTGCAGCAGAGGAGTGTCGGATGTAATGGTGGAGACATAAGACGCCCAACATTCACGTTTAGCCGTACGGATGGCCCTACGGGCCACTGCACTTGCCGTCCGAAATAAAAGAAAAGAATCGGCCGTCTGCCGGCGGCGGTGTTTCTTCCAGGCTGCACGCTTACAGCGGACCGCCCAAGCACAGTCTGTATTCCACCAGGGAATGCGCTTCCGTGGTCCCCGAGAGGAAGAGCGAGGAATAGAGTGGAGGGCAGCGTCGAAGACGGTGTCATGAAAAAAGAGGAGAGAGCGAGGGAGAGGCAGAAGGGAGAGATCAGAGAGAGCAGCACTGAGGGTAAATAGGTTCCAGCCTGCCTAAGCAAACTGCCACCTAGGGAAGGAGAGGGGAGAGTGAAAAGAGAAAAAGGTAACAAGGATGGGGAAATGGTCACTGCCATGGAGGTCATCAAGAACCTGCCACGTGAAATCTAAGTAAAGAGAAGACGAGCAAAGAGAAAGATCAAGACAGGAAAGGGTGCGAGTCCGAGAGTCCAAATGCGTGGGCTCACCAGAATTCAGAAGAGACAGGGAAGAAGAGAGGATGAACAGCTTAAGAAGGCGACCCCGGGTGTTCGTCAGAACATCACTCCAAAGGGAACGACGACAATTGAAATCACCCAGCAGGAGCACAGGCTCCGGCAAGGAGTCCAGTAGGTGTTTCAGATCGGGAAGAGAATGCAGGACACTCGGGGGGAGATAAATGGAACAAACGATGAACCATTTCCTCACAAAGATACGAGCAGCAGAACAATAGAGAGGCGAAGGAAGAAGTAAGGAGACAAAAGGAACATCAGAGCGAATCAAGAGAGAAGAAGAGTTAGAGCCCCAGCAACAGCTGGGGAGAGGGAGAGAAAAGAATAGCCACGAAAGCAACCAGGGCGAGCACCAAGCATCGGCTCCTGGAGACAGACACAAAGGGGCGAAAACCGTGAAATCAGAAGCTGGAGTTCAAGGAAATTGGCGTAATAACCACGAACGTTCCTTTGAAGAATAGACATCGACGAGAAGAGAAAGGACAGCAACAGAGAACAACGAAGAAACAAAGGCGAAAAGGGAACACAGCATGTTAAAGAAGCACAGGATCAGCGTCAGGGTCAGCGAAGTCAGGGTTAGGGGGTGTGGTGTTTGTGTGTTACTGAGGAAGTCTTGGTTGTAGGGTTGATGTAAAGTCATGACTTGGTTACTGACTTTAATACTTAATATGATTACATGACTAGTAGCTACCAAGCTTGGCGGGCGTCCTGTACGCTCTCTTGTTTTCCTCCCTCTCTCTGGCGTCTCAGCCGCCGCACATAGAAAACGGATGGTACCATTTTCTGTGAACATGACAGGGGGGTATGGGTAAACTGAGTAAAGAAGGAGGGAAGGAAGCTAGAGGACCGACCAGGGGTGGACGAGCAGGGTCCGGAGGAGGAAGAGGGGGGGGGGGATATCCGAGGGTCAAGGATAGCAGCAGGAGGGGCAGAAACTAGGGGATGTACCTCAGCAAGGGCACCAACCGAGAGGGAAGCAGGGGCCAAAGAGACCTCCATGCAGGAACAGGGGGCGGAACCACTGAAACGGGAGGGGACAGAGCGAGAGAGTCAGAAGTAGGGGGCGAGGAAGAAAGTGAAGCCTTTTTACCCGCCGAGGAGGAGGAAGGAGAGGAGCCAGGCTTACGCTTCTGACTCAAAGAGATAGGTATCCCAGCAACTACGTACTGGGCAACGAATTCCAGCATCTCAACAGGAGAAGCAGAACGAGAGCATACACGACGGCCGTTGAAGGCGGCCAAGTAGGAGGCTGCATCCTGAGAAGGAGCAGCAATGCCACGCGTACCGAGACAGGTGAGGGGGAAAATAACAGATCCATCTACGGAATCAACAAGGTGTCTATGGAGAGAGAAATAATCAGGAGGGGCAGAATCAAGGGGGAGGAGATCAAAGTATTTGGCCCACGAAGCGGGACCAAACAAGACTTGATACGCATCAGTACGGGAAGGAATCGAGCGAGTGCGGCCGTATCGAGGACGGCGTTGAGAACCCCCAGAGAGAGAGGGGTTAAAAGGTACAGTAGTCACAATTAGAGACCGAGCCGTGCAAGGGGACGAGGTGGTCACCACTGGGGGCTTGGGGCTCGACCTAACCACAAAGGAGGGAGGGGAGCCGTGGGGAGAAGTCAGGAGGGTCAAAGGAGAAGCAAGGTCGGGGCCCAATGCAACGGGGGCTACAGAGCCTGATCTTCCAACACGGTCCGACTCGGGGGCTTGGTCGCCCACCCCACAACCCTGAGAAGGTAAAAGAGGAACAGAATTAGATATAGGTACGAAGAGAAAAACATTCATTCACGAATGTGCCCCCATACCCACCATGGGGCCACAATTAGAGGCAGGACACCCAACAAGAAGCTATCGCCGATCATGTCGGGGCCCCCCAGGGGTGCGTCGTTAGTATACGCCCCACAAACGCCACCTTAAGAACCGTCATCCCATCGAGAGCGGGTTCAGTGACGAAAAGAGGATTGACAATAAAAGGTTCCCCTCGTTCTCGACGTTGGGTACTACAGTTCTACGGGTGCAAGAGTATGCCTCCAAAAGCACCCGGGCATCAAAATAGAAGAAGTCCAAAAGAACAACCAAAATAAGCAAAAGGTCGGCAGGAAATGACAAGCAGATAGGAGAAGAGGGGAGAAAAACGAAACATAAGGAAAAGGAAAAGCGATCCGGTACAATTGGAGAAGACAGCAGCAAGAGCATAAGGCCACAAAAGAACAGGACTGTCCCATGGAGCATCATACTCCGGCAGCCGGCCTCCAAGCCCCCTCATGGCGCCAATGGGCCGGATGCGGAGGGGAAATTTTTTAAAAAATGAAGCTAAAAAACAAACAAATATTTCTAGACCTAATATAGCACACATATGTACTATATTAGGCCTCAAATATAGTGTATTAGACCTAGGAAGGTTAGATTATGTGTTTAGTTTGTCAAAGAAACACAAGTAATAAATAGTTTTCCGATGTGTCCAACTCAAAAGTACCGATTTCAACTTTCTAATTTCGTTGTTCTTCGGTATATATACTATGGCCTTCATCATTACTATAAGTACTGCCAAAACAGGAGGATGGGCTGGCAATGGTTATGTTTCATAAAGTGGCACTCATTGCGAATGTTGTTAAGGTCTATTGCTTGTGTCGGGAGTAATGTTGCAGCTCTGTTACCGACTAGTTGTAACTTCCCCTTTCATTGGCGGTGGGCGCAGCGTGTGGTGGTGCCGGCCGTGGGCGTGGTGCTGGTGCTGCGGCTGCTGACCTCCCAACCCGCCCACAACCCTCCACACCCCACCAACCTCATCCTGCCAGGTCGGTATCATCTCTCAGCCTACCCACTCTGGTGTTTTTTATTAAATAATATACAATATAAAAGTCATTATACCTCTATTTACAAAAAATACTACTTTACATTTAGTTTATATAATTCTCAGTAAACTAGTGTTTCATGCCATCACAAGCATGAGCCGTAAACCCCAAATATTATACAGTACAGTATATACAACTATTAAAAGACCAAAATTTAAAACTAAGGAATATGCTTCAGAAACAGTTAAGTAGCAAAAGCTGTTCTATAAAGATGGTAAAACGTCAATAGCACTAATTAACATAAGATAAATAGACTTGAATTAAGAAATAAATAGACTTGAATTAGTAAATAAATAGACTTGAATTAATAAATAAATTGACCAACCAGTTAATAAACGAAGATCTATTTAAATAAAAATCTGCTGTACTTTTGAAGTACTTGAGTACAGGAAACAAATGTTGGAGGTAGTACTCAGTAGACAAAATATTGAAGTTCTTGCAAGGAAGGATCAAGTACAGTATTTTGTATTATATTAATATTTTTATAGTCTATATTTGCATGATTATTACATATTTTATCTTGCATGTTTGATGATATTTTATTAGTTTTGATTATAATTAATTCTTTTTTATATTAATTTAAAAAAATTACATATTATTTAAATATAATTATTTTATCTAAAATCTTATTTTGTGGTACAGGCGAGGCCATCGACCCAATCTTCGAGAAGCAGGTGGGGATAGGTCACACCAGCATGGTCAGGGGTCACCACAAGGAGCCCCTGGAGGGCCTGCCAGTGGTGCCCCAACCCTCCCCCGTCCTCCGTGACCACCCCCCTCCCCCCATCCCCCCACCTGCCCAGCCACCTGCCCTGCCCACCAGTAACAGCCATCGGGCGACGGGGAGTAATGGGAAGGAGAGTAGTGGCAAGAAGAGCAGTGGCAAGAAGAGCAGTGGAAAGGCCAAGCCATCATCATCCTGGTCACTAGCCTCCGCCAACATCACCGACAGCCACAAGGTAAGTCACAGCCTCGCATCAAAAACACCAATTACAAATGGCTACTTGATTTGAAAAATTCAACATTGGTGTAAATGTATAAAGGACAGTTGTCAAACTAGTTTCCTATTAGAAACATGAATATAGCACGAAATGAGAAAGAGCGAGGCTACCTGTGAATGTTGAGAAAACAGTGCCGCTGCACTTGTTATCACTCGTCACAATGTATATATGATGTGTTCTGTGGTAAAATAGAATACAGTAAACTCTGTTTTCAGTTATGCCTAATGTAGTAGCAGAGTATAACACATTAAAACAGAGTAAAACAATGAATTATAAAATGTTAGTAGCTATTTAAAATTTCTAATAGTAATATAATGTCTAATTAATGTACCCAAAATATTAAGGCTTAAAATACCCTAAGAATAACAGTACACAAATTCAAATGTAATTGTTATAAAAAATGATGAACAATTGGTTAAATGTCACTTACTGTATGGGATAAATTGTAGCTTTTACGAACAAGGATGCAGACGATAAATATAAGGGGGAGGCTTAGGGCCCGCGCAGGAATATCCCTGCAAAAAAAAAAAGTGCCAGTTAGATATAATTGTGTAAATATTCATAATTTGTGTTGTATGTCTCAACAGAAGCATTTCTTCCACTTCAGCATGATGGCGATAGTGCTTTGAAAACTGTTGCTTGAAGATAGGTTTGAATGCCAGCCCGTCCTCCTGTTTTGGTAGTACTTATAGTAACGATAAGGACCATAGTACATATACCTATATATAACGAAATTAGAAAGTAGAACTTGGACATATTGAATTTGGTCAGGCGGGGAAAGATTTTATTCTTATGTTGCAAAGACAAACTTAACTAACCTGACTTAACTTTCCTAGATCTAATACACGCTATCTGAGGCCTAATAGTGCACATGTGTGCTATACTACGCCTAGGAATATTTAAGTTTGTTTTTTAGCTTCATTTTTTTCGGACCCTATAAAGTGATTAGTACAAAATTCTGCTATCTAATTCCTTAGTACATCAATGTTTGTACTTTTTTCTCTCTTTTATTAAAAAATATACAATATAAAGGTTATATATTCTGTACATCAATTTTAAAGGGAAAATACTACATTACATATAGTTTACATAATTCTCAGTAAACCAATTTTTCATATGATCACAGATCATGAGCCTTAAACTCGTACTATGCTACACATAGTTACATAAAGTACTATAACCAGGAGGATGGGTTGTGAATGGACAGTGAAAGCATCAGAACGTAATGTAGTTGTGAACAATTATTGAGGCCATAAAATGGGATCTGACCCACGTCCTTTTAACTCCCCAGGCACAAACCCAGGATGTGGGGTTCGATCCCACTGCATGTCCTCAATATTTTCTCATGGGTTTGATTCTTTTCATGATGATATAAAGTTTAGTCTGTACAGTACTTCATTGGTTCTGCTTTCAGGTGATGCAATTGACCACTTGAGAACCATTGAGCAGATGTCACACTGCTTCTTATTGTTCATGTTTACAGGTGCGGTTCAAAGGTCACGCCATCACCAACCAGACGGTGACCTTGACACTCATGTCCAGCTCTGACAAGGTGTTCATGTCACTCAACAAAAGAGAGGTAAGACATTATGTTGCTCCTCGTAGCCTCGGTGTCGTGGCACTCCAAAACCAATATGGCTGATCAGAAGCGAATTCACGATGAAACTTAAAAACAAAAAGTCATTTTATTTATTTATATACAAACAATTCCACTTGGTACAAATGCCGCAGCACAAGCCACTAAATCTATATTGTTCAGTACTCACGCAGCTTGTAAATTTGTGTTAAAGTCTCATTAAACTCACTTTCTGACAAAGGTTTTGGGTTGTTTAATACTCAGTGACAGGGTTTACCGCGAGGAATTATGTAAGTTTAACGTTATCAATAATCACTGCTGCTCCCCTTGTAACATTAACTGACGTCACCTCTATGATAACACTCACTGTAATGGTTGCTATAAACTTGTAACCCCTAAAGGCTGTAATAATTGTATTGTGTAACCCCAAAGAACTGGAAGAGTCTGCCCTCACAGCGGAAAATGCTCAAACCAGTTATCAGGGGGAGAGGGTAGACATGACCAAGATGTTAAAGATATCTCAACAATCCTTTACACTGGATGGTTAAAAGGTTACTCGTTTTAATACAAATAAATGCCGCCACCACCCCTTCCGCAACTTTAATAAATAGGTTAATTGACTCGGAAGGATGCTAGTCAACTACCACCAATGCTTCGGGAATTTGATACTTACTGGGTGAATGGAATGCCTTCTCTCTTAACTTCATGAATTACAGAGGGAATATATTTACTCATTAGAATGCTTATAACATCACAAGTAATGTCCAAAAAAATCAAGATCTGTCTCAGAAATTATTAAGGGAAAATATTCAAAACTCGGGAAACAGTTAACATTAACTTAATTTAATGATGCAAATTAATTAACCCTAAGCTAGTGTTACATACTGTTCCCTGGGAGACATGGTAATGGACTACAAAATTGGACAAGGAATTCAAAACAGACAATTAACTTGTCCCCTGCTCTCTCAGCCGGTGTTGTGGTTCCGTGGTTGATCATCCCCACCTCCTCTAGCACTTGCCCAATTCACACTAAAATCTTCTTGTTATAGCATCCTTCAAGGTGAAGTTTAAGCTCCACCCCTAAAGGCTTCTTGCCTTAGAAACTCTACCCTCTCCTAGCACCTCCAATCCATTTGAACCAAGCCTTGGTTCTCTGGCCAATGAACAATCTTCAAATCCCCAAAGGTGGAGTCGTCCCACGAGAGCCTGGACACTGCCACACGGCACTGGCACACGGGAGAACTTGTGACCAAGCGGTATGGTTCCCAGGTGGTTAGAACCTGAGGCGCCTGGAAGGGAAAGACAAATAAGGTATATGGTTTAACCTTAACCCAAATCTAGGATGGCCCGGGGAAGCAGAGATAGGGTAAAAAGGGAAGAGAAGAAGAGGAAGAATAATAAAGAAGATGTAGAGAGGAAAAAAAAGAGGGAAGGAGAGACAAGCGAGGTGTCTGCGCCGTTACATAAGCAAGTATTAAACGCCCCTCTAACACCCTTGTGACAAAAACATCAGTTACAGCCCCGCTCCTGTGCCAGGTAAGTTTACAACGGGCTCACCATAATCTGTACTACATGGAACTTTGATCAGATTTTCCAATTCTGAAACAACCCCATGTTAGGACGCGATCCCGAGCCGGGCATCCCCTTGGTGTTAATTACTGCAACGCTGACCGTTAACGTGGAAGCCATTTCTCTCATGGAAACCATGAAGCATCCGATCGTAATTAAACCTACCAACATCAACCTAACTTAACTTAATTCAGCCTAACCTAACGATATAGAATTATAGACACTTTAAATAATTAGAAAACGGGCTATATAAGAAAACGTGTGTATTATATTGACGGTACCTGCTTTGAATCTTTCTTAACGTGATTTATGTGTTGGGCAGATTTACAGGAACCTCGGAGACCGTGGGTTGCACGTGGTGGTGATCAACCAACACTCCGGGAAGGTCATGGCCCGCCAGGTGTTCGATACTTTCTCCGCCGGCGTCGAGGAGGAGATGGTCGAGTTCATTGATGATGTTCGCGACGGCAGGATCATCGTCTTCGCCGTGCTGGTACACAGACGCCCAAGAATGTGATGTTTGTGATGTGGAGGGAAATAATATTTATGCGTGAAAGGAATGTGCATTGGTTGAATAATGCTTGTGCGTTAGGTGAAAAACGTTTGTGCATGAAGGTAATAATGTTTGTGAATAATGGAAATGTTATGAAAGAACGCTTAGCCATTAATGACTAAAGAGCAATTGAGAACGAAAGTTGCTATTGTATATCCCTTGGGATAGACCTAACACAGCTCATCGTCAACAGAATTGTTTTTCTTGGCATTAATCTCCTGTCTTACTTCCTACAGGACGAGGCCAGCAAAAACCTATCGTGGCGAGGCAGGAACAAGCTGAAGGAGCTGGGGTCGCGGTGGTCGGACAAGCTGGCCTACCGAGACATGTGGGCCCTCGTCACCAGGAAGGGAGGTCTCAAGATGGCGGAGACCTACTCCAATGTGGCCACAGCCGACACGGGGTACGAGTGGGGTGGACCCGTCTTCCTCAGGACCGACTTTGATCTCGAGGAAGAGGATGGTGAGTTCGAGGCGGGAAGATGGAGAAAGGCATCAGAAAGGCATCAAATTGGGGCGCAAGAGTTAGTGAGAATATGGGGCGATGAAACAGATGGAGGAAATAATGAGAAGAAACAGATTAGAAAGATAAACAGATAGGGAGGAGAAATACGGAAGAATCGGCGGAAATTAAATATAATAAACAATATGAAGATGACAGAGACGGCGATATGTGAAGATGATGATGATGATGATGATTAAACCAGGCAGGAAGATGACCGAGAAAGATAGAGGAAAAATTTGTGACAATAGTCAGCGACAGAACCTTTAGGCTACTCATTCATATTATTTTAATGACATGGTGTTTACTCCATACCAAACCAATTCAATGTGCATGAATGTTTGTTATATCATGTAATTAAATCAAATATCAAGTATTTCACTGTACTCTGTAAATAGTTAGATGTCTTACTGGGACAAAATGAAGACAATATATTTAATGAAATTAACATAGGATATGATATGCAAAAAGATCACTTAAAATATAGATAAACTATGCCGATTTAAGTAACTTCGTGGAATAGCTACACCGAGATATAGTTGGAGTCTAATTTATGAACTCCATAAACATCCTGTGTGCGGTGGCTGCAAGGTAACATTGTTACATAATGTGTTTAGGAACTGGACTGTAATGTTATTTAGTCTAAAATGTTTTAATTTGTGGTGGGCTTGTTACAGGCCGTTGTGTTCAAATTTGTAATCAAGTTACAAAGGTAGTAACCTAACTGCAGTAGTCGCAGGCAGTGCGACATTCCAGAGAGTTTAGTTAAAATGTTAGAGACACACATAATGGGCTCAGGAACTGGCCTCTCACGTTCACAAATATACGCTTTATCTACACTAGGCAAACTTGAGACGCTTGGCTGGGGCTCAGGGTAACACTGTGTACCATTAGTGCCACTAAACGTCTCTCTCCTCAGGAGAGTGTGGGTGGCCCGAGAACGAGCGTAACGACGCCAGGCGGGTCTTCTGCAGCAGGTACGACGGCTACGGTGCCATCTGTGACTGCGGTGTCACCAGCTGGAGTGACGTCTTCTTCCACGCCGACGACCAGGTGAATACTACCTGCCAACACCACTCTCAACGCCACCAGTGGCAATTAATTTATCCTGCTAACATTCACAAAACCCAGAATACAGAATATGAAGAGACGACGACGTTTCAGTCCGTCCTGGACCCATTATCAAGTCGATTGTGACTATATACACAATCGACTTCATTTCGATGCTGGACGGACCGAAACGTTGTTGTCTCTTCATTTTCCGGTGTTTGGTTTGGTCATCATATCTTCAGCCACGTTATTGTGACTCATCGTATGTATACACAAAACCTTCCACCAAATGGCACTAAACAACTTCACTAGCTAACACACTACTCCACTAGCTTGCTCTTCACTTTACTCAACTAGCTAGCATTCCACTTCAGCAGCTGGCACTGTACCCCATCTGGTTGCACTCTTCTCCACCAGCCAACACACTACTCCACCAGCCAGCTTTTTTTTTATTAATACATTAGGTACATCTGCATTTGTGCAGCCACCCTAGACTATATAAAGGGGAGTACAGTGTGTCAAAAAAAAGCTAGCTACGTGCTGCTAAAAAATCCCCATCACACAGGCTGGTTAGTCATACAGAGGCATGTGATCAGTAGTCTGCACTGGCAAACTCTGGGTGTATTATGAGGCTATCATCAACACAAAGAGTGAAAAAGGCAGCAGTGATACCAAAAGTCCCCATCTCGCAGGATGGTTAGTCATACAGGTTCATATGTTCAGTACCCTGCACTGACAAATTTTGGGTGCAATATGAGGATATCTTCAAGAACACGAGAGTGAATAAAGTAATTGCAAAGCTCCAGGTACCTCATGCCAACGGGTCTGAATGGTCTAATAACTGTGCATTCGGTGATGTAGTGTGGGAGATCATGCCCCAGTTCCTGCTCACAGAGTTTGCACCTGGAGTGCTCAGGATTGGGAGATCCGTCACCTGCAGCCACCTGCCACAGGTAACGGTAACCCAACCTGATCCTGGCAACCACTGTGTCGCACAGTCTGGTAGATGTTTTGTGCTGACCATAAATATAGGTTTCAGATCTGACCAAATCATAGCTTTTTATCAGCACTCTACTCCACCAACCAGCACTCTACTCCACCAGCAAGCACTCTTTAAGGACACAACTAACGTTTTAGCAAAAATGGTTGTGTGACCTGCAGTACCATGAGAGTAACGTCCTGCTGTTATTCTCTCTAACTGGACATATTTCTTGCAGTTACACCAGCAGCTGTCACAGAAGAAGCTGTATAAGGACTTAGGAGTTGTCATCCTAGCATCAGACAGACCTCATTACCTCTATAAGTGAGTGTGTCACTCTCCATGTGAGAGAATTTAGTATTTTTTGTACTCTGCAAACAAATACAGTAATACTCCTCTATAGTGTGTGCTTCTATATCTTGTTCCTGTATATAAGGGGGCATCTATATCGTGCCCGATATGAGTGCGCGTCTGTACTTTACCCTGTATACTGTATTTATATAGTCCCTCTATTTCAAAAAGCAAATAATTATCTTTTTAGGTTTTGTATTACAATATATCTATATGACCTAGAAACAGTACACTACATATCTAATGTTTCCCTCCCCCCCCCCCCCTTATGAATGGGTGTATATTTTATCAGTATGAATGGGTGCACGTAAGGCTCAAAGTTCCTTTACAAGACTTAAAAAAACAGTATTTGCTGTGTAGCATAAGCGTTGTGAAGAGTTCTTTCATTCATACCTGGAGTGTATGATTTATTGGCTTATACATTGTTCATGCACTCAAACTGTGCACCATTTGGTTCTATACATTTTGATCTCTCTGCGTATGCGTTAGCCTAGAATATGCTGTTTTTAGTTTTTCAGTAAATGACTTATTCATAAATGGTTTTACATTTACAAATGAGTTTACTCAAATGTTTTTAGTACATTATTTACATAAGAGAAAGTCATAATAATAACATAAGGCGTGGTCATTATAATTATTTAGTGCATAATGAAGATGTAGATTTAGTTGAATACACAGTTTATTCAACTGGACTGTGAAGTATTTTATAATGTCGTGCATCACTATAAGTTTTGGCTATGTCTCAGTTATAAATGCACCAACATTTAAGAATAACGTTTGCGTATTTGGGCAGGACGCTGAAGGCGGTGTGGGAGGCGCCTGGGGTGAACCGCGAGCATGTGGCCGTGTACGCTGACGCCCACCGGCGGGAGATTACCGCCGTGGCGAGGCTCTTCGGGGTCCACCTGGTGGTCGAGGCTCAGCGCGGCAACTCCTCCAAACAACACATCAGACACAAGGTCCAAAGGGTGTTCAGGTGAGGCATCGTTACCAAGTGTCATAGCTTCCCCCTTGTGTCATGTTTTACCAAGTGTCATATCTTACTAAGTGTCATAGCCTACCAAGTGTTATTGCTTACTAAATGTCATATCTAACCAGGTACAGTATTACATATTGTACCAAATGCCACAACTTAACACTTATCTCTGGTGTCTAGGGATGTGCTGGGGGCCAAGTTCTCCAGCGACACAATGCCTGAGGGCAGCCTACCCGACGACACACTACCTCCCTTCTCCTGCAGTTACCTCCTGCTGCTGGAGGACGATATACAGGTCTCCATCGACATCTTCAAGTAAGCCACATTCCTATTTCCTGAACATTGTGCCATCTGTTTTTAGAAGTCAGATATACTTGTAGAAGTCTGTGTATATAATATATTTTAAGACAGTTAGTGTCAGATTTATTTGAAGAAGTGTGTGAACTTTTTCTAGCCACCTCTGATTGCAATATCACCAATTTGCAACATGGCCAACACCCATAGTGGTTACTGAAGGAGTGGAGTGTTGAGAGCAACAACACGCAGCTCGAGCATGTCAGCCTTCATCCCGTCCTCAGACAAAGTCTATTCCATCCAGTGGTCGACCCCAAAGAAGCATTCATCAATTTTAACATGCTGTTCAATCAAAATATGAATTTTGTCAGATATAAATTAGTATTATTATATATTAACATACTGTGCACATTTAGGCATTGGTTAGGGTAGGTTAGGTGTTTAGGTTCTGTTAGCGATTATATGTATTTGTAGTACGTGGGTAAAGCATTTACAGCGTTGTGGTTCGAACAAAAGTCGTCAGCAAAGCATGTGTGTTTCAGAAGTGCAGCCCGTCCTCCAAACAAAGACCCAAAAGTGATTCCATGCACCCGCCAAACCCCCTGTTTTTGAATGAAAAACGGTTTACACACGACTCATAACTGCTGACGTTCGAATATATCCGGAACAAATGCTTCACTGACGAATTTTGTTCGAATCACAACGCTATAAATGCTTCACCCACGTACTACAAATACAAATAATCGCCAACAGAACCTAAACACCTAACCTAACCTATCCTATGCATAAATATACACAATGCGCTAATATATTATAATATTATATATAATATGTATTATAATATTATATATAATATATATTATAATATTATATATAATTTTATATATATTATATAATATAATATGCGTCTGTGGGGTTGACCGCTGAATGTAATGGACTTGAGTCGAGGACGGGTTGATATATTCGAACGTCAGCAGTTGTGAGTCGTGTGTAAATCGCTTTTCATTCATAAACAGGGGGTTTGGCGGGTGCATGGAATCACTTTTGGATCTTTGTTTGGAGGACGGGCTAGATGACGTCCAAACACTTCTGCAGCCCGTCCTCCAAACAAAGATCCAAAAGTGATTCCATCCACCCGCCAAACCCCCTGTTTATGAATGAAAAGCGGTTTACACACGACTCACAACTGATTTTGTTCGAAAACTTCCGGAACAAGTGCTTCACTGACGAGTTTTGTTCGAACCACAACGCTATAAATGCTTCACCCACTTACTACAAATACAAATAATCGCCAACAGAACCTAAACACCTAACCTAACCTAACCTATGCCTATATATGCACAATATGCTAATATATTATAATATTAATTTATATTTGAGAAAATTCTTGTTTTGAATGAACAGCATATTAAAATTTATGAATGCGTCTGTGGGGGCGAGATGTAATAGACTTGAGTCGAGGACGGGTTGTATACATACAAATAATTACCAACAGAACCTAAACACCTAACCTAACCTACGCCAAACTATACATACAATTTTTATGTATGAGAATATTAATTTATATATGAGAACAAACCAATTATTAGTACACAGTATGTTAAAATTGATGAATGCGTCTGGGGAGGACGGCCGCTGCTTTAAACAGCTTGAAGTGAGAACGGGTTGAGTTGTGAGTCGTGTGTAAACCGTTTTTCATTCATAAACAGGGGGTTTGACGGGTGCATGGAATGGACCTTGGATCTTTGTTTAGAGGACGGGCTGGGTGTCGACCGCTGGATGGAATGGACTTGGTTTGAGGACGGGTTGCTAAATGAACTGTGCCGGATTATTAGTCATGTCTCCACAACCAGGATTTGGGCGGGGAGAGGAGTTTCGGTGCACATCAAGTTCACATTTAAATGGTTCCCAAATGGACCAGGCCGTCCTCTAAACAAAGACCCAAAAGTGATTACATGCACCCGCCAAAACCTCCTGTTTATGAATGAGAAACGGTTCACACACGACTCACAATTGATTTTGTTCCAACACTTCCGGAACAAGTGCTTCACTGACTAATTTTGTTCAAACTACAACGTTATAAATGCTTCACCAACGTACTACAAATACAAATAATCGCCAACAGAACCTTAACACCTAACCTAACGTAACCTATGCCTATACATGCACAATATGCTAATGTATTATAATATTAATTTATATTTGAGAAAATTCCTGTTTTGAATGAACAACATGTTATAATTTATACACATGATACTATCATGTGTATGTCAGTGGGGGTCGACCGCTGGATGTAATGGACTTGAGTCGAGGACGGGTAGAATGGGGAGAACAGTTTTATATGAAGGAGAAGGATTAATAGATACTATCATGTGTATGAGCAACAATTTACTGCTTAATGGGAGTCTGGCCCTAGCTTCGGTGCGGGGCAGACGTGTTGAATCGGCGCTCCAGCAGTTGGTGTTGTTTGCCCGTTTCGGCTGGTTGGGGGCGGGTGTGTGTCTGCTCGCCTGTGCTGACGTGGCGTTACGATGGGGGTCCCTCTGCCCCCAGTCGTCCGGGCTCAGTCTGTGGGACTAGAGTTCTCTGTGCGGGCTGGTTACCCGGAGATTGCCCTGGCTTGTGAACTGCTCTCTGTCCCTGTGTTTGCGATTTATGGGGTCGAGTTGGTAACGGCCCGTAGGGCCATTGTGAAGTTTGCAGAGGAGGCGGCGTATCGCGATTTTCTCCGGCGATACGAGGGGCGGACACTGCCCCTGCCGGATGGTGCGGGCACTGTCACCCTCTCGGATCGAAGTGGTGCACTTACTTACATCAATGTGCATGGGGCTCCCTTGGAGTTTCCAGAGGCTCTGCTACGGCGGTATTTCGGGCGGTTTGGCGCAGTTGTTAGTGTGAGAGTGAACGTGGTGTCTTCTAGTCCTCTTAAGGGTGTGAGGTCTAACATTCGCACCCTGGGCATGAGACTCCGGGCGGATATTCCGTCCTCTGTGCGCCTTATGGGGTACAACGTTCGGGTGTTTTACGCCCATCAGCCGCGGACGTGTTATCGTTGTGGTCTTTTGGGCCATCAGGCTGCTGACTGTTCTGCGCCTCCTGTTGCACCAGTGAATCTCTTCAGTGAGGAGGATTTTCCGCCCCTTCCTGTGGGGGATGATTCGGTGGATATGGACGTCTCTTCGGCTGAGGAGGTGCCCTCTGTAGCAGCTGTTGCTCCGCCTGTTGCGCCCCCTGTTGTTGCCGCATCTCTTCCGGAGGTTGGGTCCTCGCCTAGTGCTCCGGCTGATGTCCCTGCGCCTCTTCCGCCTGCCGTTTGCTCGGACCCCTCGTCTTCCAGTTCTTCCTCTGCTGTGTCTGTCCCGGTCCCTGCACCCTCGCCGTCTGTCCCGGCTGTGCTGGGAGCTGAGGTGGATCCCGAATTCCCTCCTGTGCCTGGCCTGGTGCCCCGTGTGGTTGAGGAGGCTGCCGTGCTGCGGCGTGCGTCGGTTCGCTCGGTTGGTGCTGCGCGGGTCGCTGAGTCTGCCTCCGGGTCTGATGATGTGCGGCCCGAGCCTAAGCGTTCCCGGCGTTCTTCTGTGTGGGCTGAAGTTGGCGAATTCGACGAGTGTCGTCCTTCCATTGACGGTGGGGTGGCTCCGGATGTGGTGCACACTACGGTGGTGGCGGAGGTACACTTGCCTGAGGATGCTGGTGCCGGCGTTTCGGCCTCCACTTCTGGTCCGGTGTCCGAGGGTCCTGCTTCAGGTGCGTTGCCTGCGTCGGATGGCTCCGGTTCTTCGTGGGCGGTGGTTCCCCCTGCTGTAGTTGGTGGTGAGCGGGGTGGCCTGGTGGTGATGTTGAGAAAGGATGCTCGCTCTGGATGTTCTGTGGCCCCTTCCTCGTTACCCGTTTCCTCGGCAGCGGTCTTGCCACCTCTTCCGTTTCCTGCAGTCCCTTCCGTGTCTCCTGCGGTATCCGTGGAAGTGCTATCGTCTCAGCGTCCGACACCTGCTCCGATGGCGAAGGCGTGGCAGGCTCGGCGTCCCTCGTCCGCTTCTCCGGTGTCATCTGCTTCCTCGAAGGGCGTGGTTGGCGCTCCCCAGCCTCGTTATGCGACTTGCGTCAGTGACCTTAGGCATTGGCCGATGCCGCCAGATATAGATGTCCCCGAGTTTATGATACCCGCTCGAGCGCGGGGGATCAAAAACCCTACCGACCTTGAAGATCTCGTCTGGGAAGCTTACAAGTCGAAATATCCTCGTGAGCTGTTCCCGGAGAAGTACATTTCTCACGATGTTCCTCGCAAGTGATTTCTATGTATTTTGTGTTGCCTGGTTGTGGGGTGTGTATGTGAGTGGGTGGGGTGGGTATTGTTTCCCGGTTCCTGCGTGCTCCGGTTTGCTTTGTGGGTTTTTTTGTATGGCTCGTGGGGGGGGTGTGAGGTTCCTATGCGTTTGTGTGTTCGGTTATGGATGTCGTGTGCGCTTGTTTGTCATATTGTGTGCCCTTCAGGCTGTTGGCGTGTGCTCTTTGTTATGTTTTGCCTTCCGTTTGTTATGGCGGCTCTGTTTTCTTTATTGTTATTGTCCTTATTCTTGTATGTTTCTCGCCTCTCTGTATGTATTTGAGGTGTTAGCAGGCTTGTTTTGTGTGCATTTTGTCCTGGGGTTTTCCCTTATGTTTGTCTTACACTGTGTTTATAATTGTGTATTGAAGGTGAAGTCACAGTGAGAGGTTGTGTTAACCGGAGCTCCTGAGTGTTGTTATATTATCATAGCATTATGGAAGTTGTAGTGAAGGACCTGGTGACTCTAGTGGGAGCCCTGAGGACAGAGTTGGACTCTCTGCGGGAGGAGGTGCGTCAGCTTAAAAAACAACGAGAAGTAACGAAGGAGGAGACCAGCAGTAAAGGGACCTCGTCTTGGAGAGTTGCGAAAGACAGGGGCCTTAAGAAGACTTTGATAAAGCCGCCTTCAAACGCCATAGCAACTTCAAATTCATTTGACGTTTTGGAGGACGAGTGCTGTGGAGAGACTGTGGAT